GCACGAGCACGAGCACGAGCACGAGATGCAAGATCATCATGAGCAAGGCTTGCACGCGCTAGCTCAGGACGCTCTGGGCCAACAGCAACAGGATGGACTTGAGCCGCTTGAAGAGCAACAACAAGGGCAGCAAGACGAAGAGCAGGTTGCGATGGCACAGCAAGCCGCAAACGAAGCGGCTGGACACAACGCTATCTACATGCCCTCTTGACGGCAACGACTATTGTCCGGACTCCTTTTTAATCTTGGCAAAAGAGAGAGCCAAGCACGTTGTTCGTATCTTCACAGGCCATCCGCGCCCCGTGCGCTTGCGCTTGCGCTTGCGATCGCATGGAGAAAGTATGGCAAGAACTTTTTTTGATTCCTCCGACCACCCTTCCACTCGCTCTCCCTCCTTTCGCCCTCCGCAAAAGTGTTTTTCTTTTCTTCGTTTTGCTTGTAACAGTACAAAAGGCCAAAGGAATATGCAAATTATTGCGAGAGTGGCAGGGAAGGGTACATGTAATTTGGGGGCGTGGAGGTGGGCTCGGCTTTGGGCTTGGGCTTGGGCTTGGGCTTGATCAGTAAGAAATTTGAGGGGGGGGAGGGCGACCCAAAGCCAGGATCTAGTCTTCATCGAAGTTCTTCGAGGAGGGGGGGTGGGGGCGCCTGCTTGGAAAGTTGCTGAATCACGAATGTGGTCCCTGAATCTATGCGCACGCTTTGCCCAGGACTAACCCTCATCCTGCCTTGCGCCGCCGTTCGTGCCATACCCTCCCCCCTTCCCTCCTTTTCCCTGCCTTCACTAGCAAATCTGAGGGTGCTTCATCTTACTGATCGCTTGGCGAGAAAAGCTCACGCGGTCGGCGAAGTCACTGGTCGTCTCGCAGGCGGCTTCGCTGGACCTTTGGTTCGTGAAGTTGCACGCGGCGCCACAGGTCCTCTTTTGGGACTTGCGACGGGTCGCTTTGCAGGCGAAGGCTTCAATCCGCCTTTACTCCTGCTGGCTTTCGCTTTGGCAGCAGCTGCAGCAGCAGCAGCAGCTCTAGCTCGGATTTTTTCCTGATTGAGCACGTGTTGAGCGAGACGCAACGTATCTTTAAAACCGAGAGGCGAACCTGATGCGTCGGTCAAGTCGGGTCTACATGTCACTGGTGTCGTCGTGTAAGGGAACAAGGAACAAGGTGCAATAATGGCGTATCGGATGGCGTCAAAATCCAAGCCTGGCGGTTTGGTCAGTCGTCTCATCAACTTTGTGACTGGCAAAGCGTCATGATCATGTTCATCGGATCGTCTCGATAGCCTCAGCTCGCTCCTTCTCGATCGTGCATCGTGCGCTGCCGAGTCGGAAATCGTCTCGAGGTGCGCCTTCTTCTCAAGACCGGATGCTGGGCGTGCCTGCGCAGGAACGTCCCGTCGTTTCATGCTCGACAAAATCTGAACGTCATCAATCATTTCGGGCTGATCACGTCTTTTGATCCCTCCTGGACCACCCTTGCTCCCACCCGATCCGGCGCCTTTTCCTTTTCCTTTTCCTTTTGCCTTAGCTTTGGCTTCCGCCTCGGCTTTGGCTGCCGCTGCCTCGGCTTTTTGCTCATTGAGCACCTCCTGAGCCGCATCGAGCGTATCATAGAAACCGAGCACCTTTCCCTTGTACTCGGTCACAGGTCTGCAATTTCTTGGAATGCTGTTGTTGGACTCGCAAGGTTGCGTCAGGGCGTACATGATCGCCTCCTTGTCGTAATGTTGCTGCAGTCCGCCAAATAGCCTTTTGAACAACTTCAAAGGCGCCCTTTTCGTAATTACGTCGGAGGAGGAAATGGAGCGCTTCTTAGGCTTTGTCGGCCCGTCACTGTTGGTGCTGGGTCTGGGATAAAAAGTTTCAGTGGAAATCATCTCGAAATGAGCCCTCTTCTCCACTCGCGCCGAGGACGGTGCAGAAGTGAGGATGCTCCTTTTGCCCATTTGCCAACCTCTGCCGCGAAGCATGGGGGGCGAAGCGTGAGGGGTGTAGAAGAGACGGGCGTCCTGCGCTGCGCCGCCTTCATTAGCCCTTTGTACAAGATGTCCTTCTGCTTCAGCAGGCAGGCTCCTTTGTTTAATGACCGCCCACGTCTGACCATGCTGCTTGTCGTGTGCACCAGGTGCATGGTTGCTCATCGTCGTATCCACCGCGTGCACCTTTCCACCATCATGATTAGGAGAGTCATTCGCTCCGATGGTCTGTTGCTGCTTTGCCCAACCTTTGCCTCTCCACACGCCATTGTGCTTGCCGTGGGTCTGAGGCGTGTCTAGCACCACGGTAATCGGAGCGCGGATTTGCAAATCTGACCTCTTTGCAGGGTCGGATACGAAGCCTTGCATGGTCTGCTCCTTGTTGGCTTGACCATGCGGAGCGGCAAATGCCGAGATTGCACTGCAGAGGGCGAATCGAGGAATGTACTAGTCAGCACTTCTTGCCCTTGCCCGTCATCAAGAGCACAGCAGGCTATCTTGCTCTGCGCAAGCGTCCCCACTCACAGTAGGGCGCCCAGGAGGGCGATGGAGAAGCGCAGCATGATTGAGTGACGCCAATATGATGCGAGGCGAGAAAA